AGGGCTCTCACCCACAGGTGCCAATAGCTAGATGCAGGCATTTCCTGCTCAGGCCTCTCTTCAATCAGCTCCAAGATGCTATTTGTTGAAACAAGAAGCCCTACTTTTATTAAGCACCATTGAGGAACATCACACCATAACCAGTAACCATTTGTGTGTCTTAAACATTCAGGTAGTCTGTGATCCTGCCACTTCCTGTGAAGACACCCCAGTCTCCTATTCCATGTGTACCAGCTCCACCCAGCTAAGTCAGTTCAGTAGTTATCTACATCTCACTTTGTCACCATTCCTTGTTTAAATGGGTATCTACAAATTTAGCTTTCTTTTTGCTGCCTCCTTTAGCTTCAAAGTCATTCACGGAGTACTTCTGTTAAGCAAATACTGTGCTATGCCAAGGAGATTGAAAAATGAACAAGACAGAGCCTTCAAGTTGTTCAAATGTTAACATGGGAGACAGAGATATAAAAATAATTGTCTAAAAAAGTAAAGAGGTAGTATAGGCATTGGGGTGTCTTGGAGAAAGATACTCTGAGTGAGACAAAATTTGGTGACATTACATAGAGACTTAAAATAGCCAAAACAATCTTGAAAAAAAACAAAGTTGGGAGACTCATACTTACTGATTTTAATGCTTATTACAAAGCTACAATAAAACAGTGTGCTACTTGTGTAAAGACGCATATATAGATTAATGGGACAGAATTAAGAGTCCTGAAATAAACTCATCTATCTATGGCCACCTGATTTTGACAAGAGTGTTAAGACCATCCAGTGGATAAAGAACAGTCTTTTCAGTAAATGGTACTGGGGCAGCTGGATATCTACATGCAGAAGAATTAAGTTGAATCCACTCATGCCATATACAAAAATTAACTCAAAATGGATTGAAGGCCTAAATGTAAGTACTAAAACTATAAAATGCTTAGAAGAAAATATAGGTATACAGGTGTAAATCTTTGTAATTTTGGATTGGGTAATGGTGTCTTAGATATGACATCAAAAGCACAAGCACCAAAGGAAAAAATACAAAAGTTGGACTTCATCAAAATGAAAAACTTCAGTGCTTCAAAGGACATGACTGAGCATATGGAAAGATAACCCATAGAAATGGAGAAAATATCTACAAATCATGTATCTGATAAAGGGTCTAGTATCCAGACTATAAAAAGGACTTTTATGACTCAACAACAGAAAAGACAACCCAGTTTTAAAATGGGTAAAGGATTTGAATTGACATTTCTTCAAAGATAAACAGATGTCCAATAAGCACATGAAACACTGCTCAACATCTTAGTCACCAGGAAAATCAAATACAAATTGAAACCACAATGAGATACCACTTCATACCCCCTAGAAATGGCTATAATAAAAAAACAAAAAAAGGGTTGGTTACAATATGGAAAAATTAGAGCCCTCATCCATTGCTGGCAGGAATGTAAAATGGTGCCACTGCTGTGGAAAACAGCTGGGCAATTCCTCAAAATTTGAAACATAGAGCTACCCCATGACCCACCCGGTCCACTCCTAGGGATATATGCAAGAGAACTGACAACATATTCATACAAAAACTTGTACATGAATATTCACTGCATTATTAATAATAGTTAAAAAGTGGACACAACCCAAATGTCCACCAACATTTATTATGAATGGATAAATTAAATGTGGTATAACCATAGAATAGAATATTATTCAGCCATGGAAAGGAATGAACTGATACATGCTACCCATGAATGAACAATGAACACATTAGGCTAAGTGAAGGAAGTCAGTCCCAAAAACCACATATTATATGATTCCATTTATGTGAAATGCCCAGAATAGGCAAATCCATATAGACAGAAAATAAATTAGCACTTGTCAAGGAAATGGTGAGTGACTGCTAAGGAGCATGGTGTTTCTTTTTGGTGTGATGAAGATGTTCTGTAATTAGTGGTGGTGGTTGTATGGCCTTGTGAACGCATTCTAAACCATTGAATTATACACTTTCAAGGGGTGAATTTTGTGGTATGTGAATTATACTTCAATTTTTAATAAAGGGGCAGTCATTTGAACTGAGTCTTAAAGGATGTGCTCATTGGGTGGACAACGGTGGGTAGAGAATTTTAGGCAGAAGAGAATGAGAAAAGGTCTGGAAGCTACAAACAAGTAATGCATTCAGGGATGTGAAAGTGGCTCTGAGGCTGGAGTAAGGGATACACCCTGGAGTGCCAGAAAGCACAAGACGGTGAAGGGATAATAATGAAGGCCCTGTAGGCTAACCAAGGAGAAGGACCTGGGTGCCTTCAATGAGAATGAGGTCTCCTCCCTCACACATGACACACCTCACAGAATGACACAGCTAAACTGCTGGGCTCAACCCATCTTGTCAAAGAAGCCTACTTCCATCAACTCTGAATTATCTAACAACCCCACTCCACTTTGGCAAGCCCAATACTCATTTTCTCACCATTTGTAAAATCCGTTTATTCACAGCACCAGTTATTCCAAGTTTTCTCCCCACCAGAATATAAACTCCTTGAGGGCAGCCCTGTTTCCCATCTTGACTATAGGAGTATGAGCATAGAGGACTCTGTGGAATTCCAAAGATGCACACTGAGATTTCAATTTTGACCAAGTTCTGAGCTTTCCTAACTGTACAAACCCTTGCTCATATTGTCACCCTGTTTGGAATGACCTCCTAATCACAAGTTCATTCAAAACTTCGCCATCCTTTGTGGTCTATTTGACATGCAGCTACCTTAAGAAGTCTTTCTTTGCTTCCCTGCCTGGATATGAAATCTGTCTTTTAAAGAGGGTGTACTTCGTACTTTTCTTATGGCACTGATTTCCCCCTCCTTATACTGCAGTTATTTGGGTATTCCTCCCATCTCACACACCTCTTATCCCACACTTACTGGAATCTAAACACCTTAGGATAAGGTGTCTTTCCCAGCCTGGGAACTCCCAGCACTGTACTGGATAGAGTCTGATTTGAAGTGTTCAGCAAAAATGACAGAAACAGAGAAAAATATGGATTACCACACACACACACAAATTTTTTTTTAAATCCTAGAAAAAACTACAAAAAAACAGGATGTAGGCACAAATAACAGAGAGTATATGTTGAATCAATTTATGACCACTTGGCTTGTTTATATCTGGTCATTTTCATCACATGGATTTCATTTTGCTAGACCTCCAGAAGACTCAGACAAAGAGTTATGGCCTCCCAGCTGCTGCATTCCCAAGTCTGTGGTTTTCCTAGGATATAAACAAAAGATTCTGGAGGTATGGTCTCTGTTAATATTTGCTGGTGTTGGTCTGGGGAGAAATGGGTGGTGGGGTGGTGGGGGCAGTTTGAGAAATCCACCTAATGAACTGACAGTTCATGTAAGCAACACCTGGAGTGTTAAACACCCTACAACTGTTATTTTACTGGGGAAAAAAAAACCTTCTCTTCCTTTGGTAAATGTAAAAATTCTTTCACCAGCTCCATTCCAATATAAAGTGTGTGGCAGTTCAGGAGAGATGGCAGCTGGAACAGATCATATTCAGGATGTAGTGAACATTCACCAGCAGCTAGGGGATAATCAGAGACCACAAAACAAATAGTCAGGGCCATGTTTCTTGAAGAAAATGGGGTGGCTCAATTTGCCTGCTCAGAGCGTTCTGCTTGTAAACATTGAGAATACTGGAAATACACATCACATCTGATTGGCAAAAGGATCAGCCTTTTGAATAGAAACTCTGTGACATCAGCTGTTCAGGACTCCCCACTTAGCTTCATAAAATCCTGAAGCTTAAGTTTTGGTTTTAGTCCTATTTTTGTTAAATTTTTACAGCCCACTACAAAACAAAATTCAGACCAAATGTCTGCTTATACATCCTCATGACATGGCCCCTCCTCCTGACAAGAGGGAAAGACACCTAACATTCATTGGCACCAGGCCAGTCACTGTCTTCATGCTCCACCCTCACAACACTCTGGGAGGCAGACACCCACATTTCACACACCGAGGAGGTAACTTGGGACCAGAGAGCTTAAGTCACTTACTCTGTTCCCCAAAGGAAAAATGAGAAGAGTTAGGTCTGACTCTAAAGCCAGTGTTTTTTCCACTGTATGCTGCAACTGGCCAGTATACCCCCAGAGAAGTTCTTTCTCCTGAATTTGTAAGAATGCTACAAGACTCTGTATGATTGGCAAATTTTTTCTGTAAAGGGCCAGTTAGTAAATATTTAGGCTTTATGAGCCATATAGTCTCAGTTGTAATTACTTAATTCTGCCAGCATAGCACAAAAACAGCCATAGATAATATGTAAATGAATGAGCATTGCTGTGTTCCAATAAAACTTTACAGAAACAGACAGTAGGCCAGATTTGGCCCACAGGCTATGGTGTACTGGCTCCTACTCCAGAAAGTTATAAAATGGGCAGCTTCATGTTATTTGGCTTAGAAGTCAATAAAGAATCGCCTATTTCCAACTTAACAAATATGAGATCCTTCTATATTCTGTATGGTCCAGGCACTTAAGGAATTTACATTCTTTTAGGAAGGAAAAAACACAGGTACATAAAAGTCAGTTAGCAACATGAGGCAGCATGTGGTAAGTAGCAAAGGAGAAGACTTATGGCTGACCAATGGACCACCAAGATATTAGAAAAGCAGGGTCTACAACCTGATCAAATAATCCAGCCTTGGTACCAGAGCTCAAAAAGTTGGAAAACCTCTCAGAAGTTACTCCAATAAAAACACCCATTCTATTCTGGTCAGGTCACATTCAGGTTTTCACCATATGTCAGATGCCAATCAAACACATGTCCACGTACCTGCTGTCTGGCTCATTCTCAAAGGACAAGCAACTGACCTAAGGTGCAAGATAAACTGAGCACTCCCAGAGGTCCTCCACACTCCTCCCTGCTCCTACTCAAGAGCCTGGAGAAGCCATAGGCAAGCACTGGGAGAAGCCATCTGTGGTCACTCCTGAAGTCTAGGAAGAAGCACTGCCTGAAACCTTACCTTGCTCATGGCAGTCAGGGCAGGATCACAGGCAGCGTCCAGATCTTGAACCAACAACTGAATGCTGCTAGAGATGACACTGCAAATCAAACAAATTACTGTGGTCATAACTTAAGAAACTGAATTACTGAAGGACTGACACAGCCCCTTCCAAATGTTTTAGGCACCTCTGTAAAAATCAGACTCATCATTTAATCAGGAAAACTCGAGTTTCATTTCAAAAGGCAATGAATGGTACTGAGGAGCTCTGGCTCTTTCTTCATTCTCGCTGCATGTTTGTTCTTATTCAGGTGTGTCTCAACTCAGGCAGGCACAAAATCCCACAGCTAGTCTCTTTCATCGCCACACCCAGAAGCCCTCTTTATTTTCTCCTCCCAAAGTACCTGACTTTCCAAAATGTTTAAATCAGAACGTGGGAAAACAGAGTGGAAATAAGGAGAGGAAATGACCTAAGAGAATTCTGACTTAGACTCAAGTGGCTGATGTGAAAGCTAAAGCTTGGTCTATCCCAATCTCATTTAATGACTGCAACAAAAACACTGCAAGGCAGGACCAGGGAAAGGACTATTTCAAGAAGGCTTTATAGAACTTCTTAGACAGACACCATCCCATCCCAACCCCCCTCGCCCCCACCACCCACCCTACATGGCTAAAATCAAGCTGCTTACACTTTATTTTCTAAGACACTGCAGGCAGGGCAGGCCCTCTGTGGATTGAGGGGCAGATGGGAGGCCCTAGACCTGGCCTTCCTGCACAGATGGCCATGGGAGGATCTCCTCTTTTGTTTTTCTAGATAGCGCAACAATAAAGACCCCACAAGCTAAAAATGACCACATCGGAGGCAGAATGCGAGGCAGCTGCACCAACGTCTCATGTTTCTTCTCAGTGGTCAGTGGAGCATCATTCTGACCCAACAGGAGCCTCTGGAAACCTCTTAGGTCCTGCAGTGATCTAGAGCCAATAGCCTGAGACATACTGCTTCATGAAGGGGAAGGGGCAGGCCTTGAGCAAATATGTGCAAGGTACATACGTGCTGAATGTGTCCATTTCTCCAGTCAGATTGATTCGTTCAATCAGACTTACATCAACCTTTTCTTTGAGTTTTTCTTCCAGCTATATTAGAAAATAAGAAAGAAAATCATACTTAATTATCCAAAGGAGTACCATAATAATGCTTAACATTTACTGAGTTTGATGACAGAGGCACAATTCCAGGCACTTTTCATTACTGACTCATTTAATTCTCACAACCCTATGAGGAAGACGCTATTATTAAATTCATCTCCATTTCACAAATGAGAAAATGAAGGAGTGACTACCCAAGATAGTAAGTGGTAGAGCCAGGAATCAAACCTCCTCTAGAACCTGGGCCTTTTAGCACTGGGGTGTACTTGCTTCTTGTGACACATTGACAATTCATTAATTTTAAAAGGACCTCAACTTTTAGAACACTCCCTGCCCCTTGGACGGCAGGCTCATTCACCAACACTGGAAGCCTTTGGTGGCAGATGGCAGTAAAATCAGTTAAAGTATTTAGCAAGCACTACTATGGGCCACCTGCTGTGTTAAGGTGTTGGGAACACTGAGATAAAAAACACAGTCTCTGCCTTCACCAGCCTACCGCTAAGGAGAGAAACACTGGCCTTGATCCTAGCAGCCTCAAAGAAAAATAAAACTGACCAGGAATTGTAAATATCTCAAAACATTCCAGGAATTGATTCATCTACCACTCCAAACCCTATGTATGCCACAAACTCTAAGAATAAGGAATGTTTTGTCTTACATTTTAAAATGCTTTTAGGGGTGCATAAATTAGTGTAACCCTTTTGTTAGACAATTTATTTAAAAAACAAAATCTTAAATATACACACTCTTTAGGCCAGCAATTTCACATCTAGAAATATATTCTAATGAATAATGAGAACAGTGTACAAAGATTGCAAGTACTCTTTGCAGTATTAATTCAACCAGTATGCACTGAAAGCCTCTTTTTTGCTGGGTTCTGTAATAAAGGGTTAACAGAACAGATAGTCCTCTTCTCATAAAGATGACATTATAGTTGTTACTCATAGTAGTGAAAAACCGGAAACAATCTACAGTGCTTATAGGGGACTGGTGAAACTGCTTAAGGCGTAGGCTTATGGTGCTTCAACTCTTCAGAGTCCTTTCCTTTCACACTGAAAAAACAATCCTTTCCCCTTTGCCTGCTTGGCTTCAGTTACACAACCTCTTAAGGTCCTGGAACACAGTAAGAACACACTAAGGTCTTTTCCCCCTCAGGCCTTCACACTTCTTCTTACACACACACACATACACTCAGGCCTTCACACTTCTACTTACACACACACACACACACTCAGGCCTTCACACTTCTACTTACACACACACACAGACACACACACACACACACACACACACACACACACCCTCTCAGCTCTTCCAAACTCCTCATTAAGCACTAAGGTCTTTTCCCCCTCAGGACTTCACACTTCTACCCCTCATTAAGCACTCTCCCTCCTCTGCCTCATTATCACCTCCTCACAGAGGCCCTCCTTGACTACCCCACTTCAGTAGGAAACTCCCTAGCTAGCACAGCAGCCTTTGTTTCCTTCCTAGCACTTATCACAAAATTTATCTTGGCTTATTTATTATGTGGTTCCTCCATTACTTCTAAGTTCCATGACAGTAAGAAACTTGTCAACTTTGTTCACCACTATTAATTAACACCAAATACAGTGACTGGTACATAGTAAGTGCTGCATAAAGATGTCTTGAAGGAATGAATGCAACACCCTTTGCATTCAGCACCTAAAGTGTTCAGCATAAAAGTGTTAACAGTTAATGAACTATATTGGTAAGTTATTGGCATTGTGTTTAAGTTTTATTTTTTAATTCTTCATTGCTTGCATTCTTAATTCTCCTTGGTTTCTTCCTCCATTTCTTTTTGCCCAGCCCCTACAATTTTTTCCTAAGGAAACTGGGTTGTTTGTCCTATAGATTTTCCCACAGCTTGGATTTTGTTAGTTACATCCACAAGGGATTAATTAACATGTTCCTCTGTCCCTTATATTTCTTGTAAATTATAGTTTGATATAGAAGCTTGATCAGATTTAAGTTGTTTTTTTTCTAAGAAAACTACTTCATAATGTGTTGTATACTTCATTATCAGGAGATATATGGTGTTTGGTTGTCTCTCTTTGTAATGTCACAGCAGCCATTGGTGGGCAATGCCCAGATCCATTATTCTACGGGGAGGTGTAAAAGAGTGAGGTCCTAATTCTACCTTCTTCACTTAGCTAAAATTCTGCTATCAAGAACTACTTTCCATTGTCAATAATTTGGTTATCCTGAGGTACAAGTCAAATAGGAACAGAAGGATAAGAACTTTCTCTTTATTTACCAGTATTCAACTTATACCAGAGGTTCCTTAGTATCTTCAAAGGTGATAATTAAAAAAAAATCACTATATACTGGGATTTAAACCTATTTGATGTTTTTAACCTATCACAGTTAATATTCTCAGTGATGCTTATATGTCCATCTTTGACCAGTAGAGATTACTCAGGTTGGCTCCTTAGGGCTGCCATAACAAATTACTACAACCTTGGTGGCCTGAAACAGAAATTCATTCTTTCACAGGTCTGGAGGCCAGAAATCTAAAATCAATGTTCTAGAGGTTCTGGGGGAGAAACTATTCTGTGTTTCTCTTCTATCTTCTGGTGGTTGCTGGCATTCCTTGGCCTTCCTTGGCTTGTAGATACAGCACTCCAATCTCTGCCTCCATCTTTACATGGCCTTCTTCCCTGTGCCTTTGTGTGTTAAATCTCTCTCTCCTTTCTAAGGACACCAGTCCTTAGATTTAAGGTTCAGCCCAAATGCAAGATGATCTCAGCTTGAGATCCTTATTTAATTACATCTTTAAAGACCCTATTTCCAAGTAAGGTCACATTTACAGGCATGAGGGGTTAGGACTTAGACATACTATTTTGAATAATAAATCCATTACACCTCTTGAGTCCTTTTGAAAATTACTCTCATAGTCCTTGATATTTTCTTTGCTTTTTGTATGACATGATGTTCTGGGCTTATCTTGTATATTTCATGCCACAGACTTGGAATTAGTCATTTCTCAAGGAATCTCTGGTTCCTTTTAGTGGCAAATGATATGTAGAAATCACAATATAGGTGCTAAGAATGTATTTCCTTTTTTAAAATTGAAGTATCATTGTTATACAATCTTATACTGGTTTCAAGTATACAACACAGTGGTTCAACAATTACCCATATTATTAAATCCTCACCCCCACTAATGCAGTTACTATATGTCAACATAGGAAGATGTCACAGAATCACGGGCTGTATTCTCCCTGCTGTACTGCTATTCCTGTGACCAACTTATATAATTGAGAATTTTTGTTCCTTTATCCCCCTCACCCTCCCTATCCACCCACCCTAATCTCTCCCCCATCACTTCTCAGTGTCTATGAGTCTACTGCTATTTTGTTCATTTTGTTTTGTTTTTATATTCTACAATAAAGTAAAATCATATGATATTTGTCTTTCTCTGCCTGGTCCACTTCACTTAGCATAATACCCTCTATTTCCATACATGTTGTTGCAAATGGCAGGATTTCTTTCTTTTTATGGCTGAAAAATAATCCATTCTGCATATGTACCACATCTTCTTTATCCATTCATCTATTGATGGACACTTAGGTTGCTTCCATATCTTGGTTATTATAAATACTATGGTGATATACACAGGGGTGCGTATATCTTTCTTTTCAAACCAGGGATTTTGTATTCTTTGGGTAAATTCCTAGAAGTGGAATTACTGGGTCAAATGGTATTTCTAGTTTTAGTTTTCTGAGGAATCGCCATACTGCTTTCCACAGCAGTTGCACCAAATAACATTCCCACCAACAGTGTAGGAGGGTTCCCTTTTCTACACACCCTCGCCAGCATTTGTTATTTCTTGTGTTTTGCATAATGGCCATTCTGACTGGTGTGAGGTGATAGCTCATTATGATTATGAATCGCATTTCCCTGACTATTAGTGATGTGGAGCATCTTTTCATGTGCTATTGGCCATCTATATGTTCAGGTCCTCTGCCCATTTTTTAATTAGGTTGTTTGTTTTTTTGGTGTGGAGATGTATGAGTTCTTTATATATTTTGGATGTTAAGCCCTTATTGGATAAATCATTTTCAAATATATTCTCCCATACTGTAGGTTGTCTTTTGTTTTGCTGATGGTGCCTTTGCTGTACAGAAGCTTTTTGGTTTGATGTAGTCTTACCTGGTCATTTTTTATTTTGTTTCCCTTGCCCAAGGAGATGTGTCCAGGAAAAAATTGCTTATGCTTATGTTCAAGAGATTTTTGCCTGTGTTTTCTTCTGAGAATTTTATGGTTTCATGTCTTATATTTAGGTCTTTAATTCCTTTCAAGTTTACTTCTGTGTATGGAATTAGACAGTAATGCAGTTTCATTCTTTTGTATGTAGCTGGTCCAGCTGTCCCAACACCATTTATCAAAGAGGCTGTCTTCTCTCCATTGTATATTCATGGCTTCTTTATCATATATTAATTGACCATATATGCATGGGTTTATATCTGGGCTCTCTATTCTGTTCCACTGATCTATGGGTCTGTTCTTGTGCAAGTACTATGCTGTCTTGATTACTGTAGCTTTGTAGTACAGTTTGAGTCAGGAAGCATAATCCCTCCAGCTTTGTTCTTTCTCAGGATTGCTTTGGCTATTCAGGGTCTTTTGTGGTTCTATATGAATTTTAGGATTGTTTTGTCTAGTTCATTGAAAAATGCATTGGTATTTTGATTCTGATAGGGACTGCACTGAAACTGTGAATTGATTTGGGCAGAATGGCCATTTTGAGAATATTAGTTCTTCCTATCCATGAGCTCAGGATAGACAGATTTCCATTTATTTGTGTCATCTTTAATTTCTCTCATGAGTGTCATAGTTTTCAGAGTACAGGTCTTTCACCTCCTTGGTTAGGTTTATTCCTAGGTATTTTATTCTTTTTAATGCAATTGTAAATGGAATTGCTTTCCTTATTTTTCTTACCACTACTTCATTGTTAGTATACAGGAAAG